TTGGGATTCAAACTGTCCCCTCAAGTTTGATAACTCACTAGCATGACTCACAATAGACTCACAATTACAATTTTTATTATAAAATATACCAATCAGGACAAGCATAACAAAGAAATGCGTAGGACAAGGTGAGGTGGAAGGGTCTCAGACCTGGAGCTTCTATGTCCCAAAAATGTCATCTTCCATAGGTTGATATCTTTCATCAAACAGGAAGCTCACCTATGTTTTCCAGTCCAGGGTTTTTATTGGGGCTACGTTACAAATGCATAATTGATTGAATCACGTGGTTGGTTGAGCTCAGCTTCAGCCCTTCTCCCCTCCCTAGAGTCAAAGTGATCTTTCTGACATGGTTAACCCTCATCCAGCATGAGTCACTTCACTAGCATAAATTCTGAGGTATGATCTAGAACTCCTCCAAAGACTCTTATCACAGGGGAATCTCCAAGAATTTAAAGATTACCCCCTAGCCAGGGACAAAGACCAAATTATTTAGGTAAAGTTAATTATACACTCCATCCAATTTATGGATGTATTGTAAGTTACTTAAATCAGTTATAGTGTAGGAATATTAAAACCTGCCCACATAATTTCTTCAGCAAACATTTGGGCTCCTGTGACTTGACCAACTTTTTAACCTCAAAGTCATATGGGATATATATCTTGTCATTTCAGAGATAGGAACATTTAGGAATGTGACATTGACTTTTGCCAGCTGGAATACAGATTACACTCTGAAGGAGTATTTTTGAATACTTGGAGTATGAAATAGGTAGTTCTGCTATTTTATGCCAGAAGCTTCATTCTTCATTTGAGGAAGTATTTGGGAAATGAAGTAATGATAATATCCTAGAAAGCAGAGCTTAAAAAAAACAAAATTATTTTAATCTCAGGGAAGAAAATAATTTGTGCAAGGAAGTTGAGTATATTACATCGCTCAGTTGGTAATGGTGTTTATATGGTCACAATATAAACTCAATATTAGCTTTAAAAATTTATCTGAATGTTTAATTAACCTGGAATAGGGTGAAGCCATATTGGAAAGAAGAGGAGAATGCAACTCTGCCTATGTGGGGTGGGAAGTGGGTGAGAAAAAGTTATGCCTTCCTTAATAGGAAGTCAGTAAATAATGATTAAAAGTAAAAATAATATTAGCACGTTATTTAAATGTATGGAGTTTAAATAACAAAAGAGATAGCTAAAAGAGATGGCAATTGTTTTCTATAGATTTGGAAAATGGGGAACAGGGTTACAGGGATAGAATAAGGCTTTTGTAATAATTCTTTGCACAACTACTTTGTATATGTGTACTACTTTGCTGTCATGCTGGAAGGTATGCTACCACTTTTTTCTTTTTAATTTTTATTGTGATTTGGTTGAAAGTTTACAGAGGAAATTCATTTTCCATACAGCATTTCATATACATTTTGTTTCATGACATTGACTGCAATTTCCCACTATGTAACAGCTCTCTTCCCACTTCCTCCCTGTAGTTACCTCTTCCCTGCATCCTTCCCTCCCATCGACTCCAACCCCCACCCCCAGCTACTTCCCTGTGCAAACACTGCCCTTCTGTTCTCTCAGGATTGATTGATTGCCCCAAGGAGAGTATCTACCTGATGTAAATGTTCACTCCAGCCTGTCTGTTGTTTGGTTGGAAGCCACAGGAGTGAATTCAGTTCCAAAGCTGATGGGTAGCTAGGGCCCATAGTCTCAGGGGGCTCACCTGCCTCTCTCAGACCAGTAAACCTGGTCTCTCTCTCTTTTTTTTTTTTATGATTTTGAGTTTTGTTTCACATTGTTCTCCCACTCTGTCCAGGATTTCCTGCACTGATCTGTTTCCGAGTGGTTGACGGTGGTAGCTGGGCACCTAGTTCTTCTGGTCTCATGGTCATATAGGGTTAGGATCGCATGGTCTGCTAGTCCCTTGGACTAGTTGTTACCATGCTTCTTTGGTTTTCTTCATTCTTCTTTGCCCTGGATGAGGAATGATCAATTGTTGCATCTAGATGGCCACTGGCAAGCTTTTAAGACCCTAGCCACTACTCACTAGAGTAGAATGTAAAACAATGTTTTCATGTAGTATGTTGTGCCAATTGACCTTGATGTCCCCTGTGACCATGGTCCCAAGCCCACAAGTCCAACTACTTGCTCCCTCAGGGTAGCCACCACAACCTTGCCCCTTGTCAGCTCTATTATACACCCAGACATTCTTACAGCACATACAAATACACACATAGAAACATTGTCTGCCAACCCTACACATGGTCATGGGCACACTCCTGATCATTCAGCCTGTCCACCCATCTATCTTCCTGTAGATTAATGCTTGTCATCACTGGCAACACAGTATTGTACATGCAAAAGGGTTCATCTCTATTTTCTGTACCTCCTGTGTACATCTCTTATGTGTTCCTCTTCCTCAGTGCCACCATGCTGATCACTCACTTTTAGTACATCGCCCTTCCCTTTACCTAAATCAATACTTGTCTCTACCTATCTGTGCACAGCTATTTTAAATGTATGTTCAGGTATAAGTGATAAAAACGAAATTTTTAAATTTGGAGACTTCAGAGAAGAGCTTAATAAAGATCATCTATATATCAGTCAAGGTTCTCCAGAGAAATAGAAAACACACACAAGCATGCACACATGTATGCATGCACACAAGCACATGTATGCACACACATAGTTGAAGGGGAAAGAGGGAGAAAGATTGATTTTTAGGAATTGGCTCACTCAATTATGGGGACTTTGTTAGGTGCAGTCAAGTTTGTTCCAACTCATAGTGTCCCTGTGTACAACAAACAGAATAAAACACTGCCTGATCCTGCACCATCCTCACAATCATTGTTTCATCCCATTGTTACAGTCACTGTGTCAATCCATCTCTTTGAGGGTCTTCCTCTTTTTGGTTGACCCTCTACTTTACCAAGCATGATGTCTTTCTCCTGGGACTGGTTCATTCTAATAACTTGCCCAAAGTATGTAAGATGAAGTCTCACTATCCTTTTTTTCTAAGGAGTATTTGGGCTGTATTTCCAGGACAGATCTGTTTATTCTTCTGACAGTCTATTCAATGCCAACACCATAATTCAGATTCATCAATTGTTCTTTAGTCTTCCTTATTCATTGTCCAACTTTTGCATGCATATGAGGCCATTGAAAATATGGCTTGAATCAGCTGCACCTTAGTCTTCAGTTCTTTAATTTAGTTTCTGCTCTGTTAAACCTTAAAGGTGTTTTGCAGCAGGTTTACCCAATGCAGTACGTCATTTAATTTCTTAGCTGTTGCTTCCCTGGGTGTTGACTGTGGATCCAAGCAAAACGTAATCCTTAGCAACTTTAGTCTTTTCTCCACTTATCCCGATGTTGTTTATTAGTCCCAATTGTGAGGATTTTTTTTTTTTAATGTTGAAGTATAATCCATACTGAAGACTGTATAGTCTTTGATCTTCATCAGTAAGTGCTTCAAGTCTTCTTCCCTTACAGCAAGCAAGGAAGTGTCATCTGCATATTGCAGTTGTCAGTCTTCCTCCAATCCTGATGCCGTGTTCTTCATACAGTCCAGTTTCTCGGTTTATTTGCTCAGCATACAGAGTAAGTATGGTGAAAGGATACAACCCTTACACGCACCTCTCCTGATTTTAAACCATGTAGTACCCCTTTGTTCTATTTGCATGACTACCTTTTGTTCTATGTGCAGTTTCCTCATGAGTACAATTAAGTGTTCTGGAATTTCCATTCTTTGCAGTATAACACAAAGTATAGCTGCACAAGGTGGACACAGAGCAATCTCTCTGCATCACAGCACATGCTCAGACACTTCAGAAAGAGGGTTTCCAGATTTGGACCTGAGAATGGGCTTTCCAGACCTGCTCTACGCATTATTTGTTATGATCCACACATTCAAATGCCTTTTACAGTCAATAAAACATGAGTAAACATCTTTCTGGTATTTTCTGCTTTCAGTCAAGATCTGTCTGACATCAGCAATGATATCCCTTGTTCTACGTCCACACCTATTGAATAGCAAACTCTAGGAATGATACTCAGTAATCTGCATTTTAATAGCCCCTGTAGATAATTCCTATACATGCTAAAGTTTGAGGACCACACTTTGCTGCCCATTATAACCACCTGTGAACCTACCAGTTGCTGTAGGGTTGATTTCTGACTCGTGGTGACCCCATGTGTGCCAGAGAAGACCTGTGCTCCACTGGGTTTTCAGTAACTGATTTTTTAGATGTGTACTGCTGAGCTTTTCTTCCCAGGCAGCTCTGGATGGACTCAAATCACCAACCTTTTGGTTAGGAGCCAAGTGTGTTACTGTATGAATCTTCCAGGCCCTCCTATAATCACCTAGGAGCAGTTTTAGAAAAACACAGGGAAGTTTTAAAAAATTTTTGATTCCCAAGTCACTCCCCATGGTAAATTAAATCAGAATGTTTTGGGGTAGGACCCAGACATCAGTATATTTTAAAGATCCTATGTAATCGCAAAGTTTGGGAATTCTTGTCTACATTTTTTTTATCTTCAGTTTTGGGGAGGCCAGCCAGGTTTCCAAGGCCAGGAAGGTAGATGTGGTTTTGATGGTGTGGCCATTTCTCAGCTGGGAAAATGGCACTGGAGGGAGGAAGATCTGCACAGAGCAGGTCTGGAAAGCCCATTCTCAGGTCCAAATCTGGAAACCCTCTTTCTGAAGTGTCTGAGCATGTACTGTGATGCAGAGAGATTGGTCTGTGTCCATCCTTGTGCAGCTAATTTCCATGTGGCTTTGAGAGGACTTACATGTCTGAACTACCTTTTACCTCTCATAATTTCTGTGTGTGTTTGGCGGGGGATAAGAGGTCCATGTAGGAATGGAGTAGTTTAGATTTTTAAAGTCATTTGGGGAATTCTAAGGCAAATCTATTCTTATGGCTTCATGTTATTCCCCCAGCTCTGGCTTCTGTAGATGCTCTGCATTACCAGTAAATGAACCTTAAGGAACATTGGCTAGTGCTAAAATCATGGCTCATGTAAGTTGGTGTTTCTCTTTATTTGAAATTACATTATATTGCATTATATTTTTCAAATTATATGAACATTTTCAGTCATTATTCTGAAGCTTCCTGACAGAGCCCCACCCAACAGCTTCCATTCCAGTAAAGGATGGAGCCAAGCATCTAGGCCCTTCCTGTGTTCCTTAATCTAGTCCATGTCCATGTGTGCATCGACCAAACCATTCAGAATCTTCTGTGTGCTCAGTCTGTATAGAGCAGAGATGGAGTAGAAGGGAAATCCCAAGAGAAAGGTATTTGAGCTGAGACTTTCAGAAGTATAGGACATCTTAGAGCAGCACTGACCAAAAGAAATATAATGTGAGTTGCATATGTAATTTAAAATTTTATAGTAGCCACATCTAAAAAGTAGAAAAATATGCAAGGCACATAAGTAATTTAAAATTTATAAAACATTACTGAGGTAGTTTACATTCTTCATTTCTTTGTAAAGTTGTTGATATTTGGTTTATGTATTACACTTACAATGCATCTGAGTTTGGATCAGTCACAACTTAAGTGCTTAACAGCCACATGTGGATAAGCTACCTTATTGGACACTACAGTTTTAGAGATTTTTGTATTACTTAAATCCCAAGTATAAATCAATAATGAACATATAAAATGAACTATTGTGTAGCAAATTAAAAATATTCAAGAAAAGATTTACTGTAATGGAAAAATGCTAATGGTACAACATAATGATGACTAGGCCTAGAAAAAATTCTTTAATTTTATGCAAACTCTACTTAGAGATTTTATAGTTAATTTTTGAAAAAAATAATTGTGAAAAATTTGTAAAAATAATAATTGATTAATTATTTTTTTCTAATCCTTTAAGGAAAAGGAGATAGAGCAAATCATGTTTATTGAGAGTGTCAGAGTCAGGTCTGTTGCAGTCAGTGTTCTTATAAACATTATGTCAATTAACTGATAAATTCTGATAATTACCTGAGTATGTCTTGAAGTAAAGGAAATTACATATCTCATACAAACCAAACCAAACTCACTGCCGTTGAGTCAGATCTGACTCATAGCAGTGCCTCCTAGGGTTTCCAAGGTGGTATCTCTACAGAAGTAGATTGCCCAGACTTCCTTCTGAGGAGTGGCTGGTGGGTTTGAACCACCAACCTTCTGGTTAGCAGTCAAATGCCTTAGGCACTACACCACCAGAGCTCCTGAGAACACTATTTGATATGAGCCAGATTTGGCCCACCATCTGTTTTTGTGCAGCTGTAAGCTAAAAATGATTTTTCAATATTTAAAGAATTATTTAAAAAGAAGAAAAAGAATATGTGGCAGAGAGTATATATGGCTTGCATGTTTAATATCTGGCCTGGTGGTACAGAAGGTCAGCAGTTCAATCCCTCCAGCCTTTCTACAGGAGAAAGATGTGGCATTCTGCTTCTGGAAAGATTTACCACCTTGGAAACCCTGTGGGTCAGTTCTTCTCTGTGCTGTAGAGTCGCTATGAGTTGGAATCAATTCTATGATCAATTCTATGGCAGTGGGTTTATTGAAAAATGTTGCCAACCTCTGGTCTGTATCACTAGGAATCTTCAAAAACTTGTACATGCTTTTCTATAGTCACACTCATTTCTTAACTGTCACCTGTACACGTTACAGGCTTCTAGCCCCAGCGTATTCATTTGATATATCCTCCTGTCCTTCAGTGAAATCCTTCTTCATTTTTAAATATTTTTATTTAATTTTACAAATAGGGTATGGGTTTGTCATTTCAGGATTTGGTAATGTTCAGAGATGTGGCTGTAGACTTTTCTCAGGAAGAATGGGAATGCTTGGATTCATATCAGAGGAATTTGTACAGAGATGTGATATTAGAGAACTACAGCAACTTGGTATCGTTGGGTAAGCTTATTTAAATAATTTAGGACTTCATAGAATTGAACGTTAAGGTTGTCTTTCTAGAAACTAGCAGAATATCTGCTTTGTGGTTTGGGAATATGTACTTCTACTAAGCATCTAAAGGAGCTCTGGTGGTGTAGTGCCTAAGGCACTTGACTGCTAACCAGGGGGTTGGTAGTTGAAACCCACCAGCCACCCATGGAAGGAAGATTGGGCAATCTACTGCCATAAAGATTTACCACTTTGGAAGCCCAAAAGGAGTTGCTGTGAGTCAGAACCAACTCAATGGCTGTGAGTTTGGTTTTGGTTTTTATTAAGCATCTGTCCTCATAATTAAACGACCTTTACACTTTCCTCTGCCTTCTGTAATTGCCTTTCTTCTTCAATGAAAGCTGGATATAAACTCTTGGACACTGTCTTGTTTACCTGTTGTTGTTGTTGTTGTTGTTGTTATGTGCCGTCGAGTCGGCCCCGACTCATAGCGACCCCTCCTTGGGTTTCCAAGGCAGTATCACTACGGAAGTAGGATTGCCCAACCTTCCTTCCGAGGAGTGGCTGGTGGGTTTGAACCGCCAGCCTTCTGGTTAGCAGTCAAGCGCTTTAGCCACTATGCTACCAGAGCTCCATTCTTGTTTACCTAGTGTGGCCATAACAAAAAATACCACAAATAGATGGCTCACAGTTTGGAGCCTAGAAGTCCAAATCAAGATATGTGCTGTAGGGAAAGGTCCTTCCTTGTCAATAACCCGGGGAGTTCCTTGGCATTCCTTGGTGTTCTTTGACAATACTTTATATTCCTTGCCATCTATCTTCCCCCATGTGTGTGTTTGTCTGTTCTGCTGTTTTTATAAGACACTTCTGAGTAAGTTTTAGGACCTGGCTTACTCCGGTATGACATTATTAGCATAACAAAGGAAAAGCCATATGTACAGATACAAGGGGTTAGGACTTTCACATTTCTTTTGGGGGGACATAATTTGGTCCACCAGCAGCACAAAGCTGATTCCTATGAGGTGGAGGTCAGACACACCTCTACTCTATAACTTTCTTACCATTTCTGATACAACCTCTCTCCTATGGCACTCTCTACTTCTCTGCTGGATTCACTTATTTATTGCAATGGCCACACCAAACTCACAGATCATACTTAGAGTACAAGTTGGGATCAGCTTCAGCAAGCTACAACTCAGGATCAGGAAGCATGTAGGTAAAGTCTAGAAGCCTCCTCTGAAGTGGAGAGCACATCCCTCTCTTTCCCAGTACAGGACAGCTGTCTCACCTTCTCTTGAGTATACAAGCATGCAGACTCTTCTTTCTGCCATGTCTGCCCCTTCTCAGCCATATAGTCTTTCTCTCAACCTCCTCAGGACAGGCCTCCTCTTGCCCCACTCAGGACAGTCTTTTTGGCCCTGCATGTACCCTCTCAGCCTTGCAGGCCTCCTCTGAGCCCCCTCAGGACAAGCTTCCTCTTAGCCCCCAAAGACAGGCTTCTCAATCTGCTTAGGACATGCCTCCTCTCAGTTCCTTAAGGAGAAGCTTCCTCCCAGCCCCTCTGAGAACAAGCTTCCTTTCAGCCCCTCTGAAGACAGGCCTCTTTGCCCTGCATGCCCCCTATCAGCTGTGCAGACCTTTCAGCCCCCTCAGGACAGGCATTTTTTAGGCCTAGTCAGGACAGGCCTCCTCTTGTCTGTTCACACCTCCTTTTAACCATCCATACAGGCCTCTCTGCCTTTGGACACCCTGCTGTTGGCCTCTTCACTGATAACTGACCTAGCTCTTACTCAGTGTTTCACCTTTGTTCCTCTCCGTTATCTGCATTCCTTGGAGCAGGTTTCTGCTATCACCATCAACTCTGCCACAAGGCCTCTTCCAAGCCTGTCACTGCTGGTTCTGCTTCAGGCCTCGTTCTGGGCTTCTCTTCACATTCAGTGTTACAGCTATTGATCTATGTTACAGCTCTTGACCCATGTTACAGCTCTTTTAAGAGGTTCTTCACCTCTCTGCTGCTTCTCTGCCTCACTTGTCTTTTCTCCTTTTTTTTTTTTTTTTAATTTCCTCCTTCTTTTTGTTTCTTCTCTCTTCTTGCCTCTTTTTCCTTTTCTCCTTTCTCCTTTCTGAAACCTCTGGGGGATTGACTACACACACACACACACACACACACACACACACACAAACTTCGTGTCAATTTCAAGACATGACCCTCCCAGCACGGCCATGAATGGATCAATCAATCCCCTTGGTGGGCCATAGTCACTTTATTTGCATAGCTTATAGTATATTGGGAGCTCTGGTGGTGTAGTGCCTAAGCAGTTGACTGCTAACCAGAAGGCTGGTGGTTCAAACCCACCAGCCACTCCTCAGAAGGAAGACTGGGCAATCTACTTCTGTAGTGAAACTGCCTCAGAAACCCAAGGAGGGTTCACTATGAGTTGGATCTTACTCGATGGCAATGAGTTTGGTTTTTGTTTGGTATAGTATATTGACCAATCACTGAAAGATGTGTAAAGTAGATCTATCACAGGACAGGCTAGACAAAAAGTATCCAACTGTCAAATTGCTTGCAATTTACTCAGGAAATGTCTGTCAATCTGGACAAAAGTGACAAACCCTCAGAACACTATCTCTGAGCAAAGGTAGACTTAGAGGGAAAATCTCTCAAGATGATTTTCTAAAGAACCAAGGTACAAAGATATATAAAGGAACTCATTTCACTGCAGACCTAAATATCTTCCTCATAACAAAATAATAGCCAAATATTAGCAAAAAAGTACCTGTTGTTGTTAGATGCCATTGAGTCAGTTCTTGCTAAAAGCAACCCATTGTACAACAGAACAAAAGACTGCCCAGTCCTGTACCATCTTCATGTCATTGCTGTCTTTGAGCCCCATTGCTGGATCCACTGTGTCAATACATTTCATTGATGGTCTTCCTTTTTTTCTGACTCTCTACTTTACCAAGAATGATGTCTTTCTCCAGGGACTAATCCTGCCTGATAACTTGTCTAAAGTACGTGAGATAAAGTCTTGCCATGTTTATTTCTAAGAAGCATTCTGGTTATATTTCTTCCTAGACAGATTTGTTTATTTTTCTGGAAGTCATGGTATAGTCAGTATTTTTTGCCAACACGATAATTCAAATGCACCAATTTGTCTTCATTCTTCCTTACTTATTATCCAGCTCTCACATGCATATGACATGATTGAAAATATCATGGTTTGGGTCAGGCACACCTTAGTCTTCAAAATGACATCTCTGCTCCTTAACACTTTGAAGAGGTAAAAGTTTTGCAGCAGATTTGCCCAATGCAGTTCATCATTTAATTTCTTAACTGCTGCTTCCATGGGCAACAACTGTGGACCCAAGCAAGATGAAATCCTTAACAACTTCAGTCTTCTCTCCATTTATCCTGGTGTCACTTACTGGTCCAGTTGTGAGATTTTTTTTTTTTTTTTTTCATGCTGAGATGTAATCCATACTGAAGGCTGTAGTCTTTGATCTTCATCAGTAAGTGCTTCAAGCCCTCTTTACTTTCAGCAAGCAAGGCTTTGTCATTTGCCTATCACAGCTTGTGAATGAGTCTCTGCCTGCCCTAATGCCATGTTCTTCTTCATATAGTTTAGTGTTTCAGATTATTTGCTCAGCATACATATTGAATAAGTAAGGTGAAAGGGTACAAACCTGACACATAACTTTCCGAAATAAAAGAGTACATAGTAAACATTTATAGTGATTACTGTGTAGTTGTCACTCAGCTAATAAGTACTTCACACAAACCTCACAACAATCCTATGAGGTAGACGTTACCATTCCCTTTTTACAACTAAGAAAACAGAGGCAAATACAAATTGGATTATTTGCCTTAGTGACTCTAGTCACAAAGGCAGGATTTGAAATCATTGCTGTCTACTCTTACTTCTCAAGAGACAGAGCCAGTATGAATTCAAATTAAAAGAAGACTGTGTCCCTACTTCTCTGTTCTTGTTATTCCTTGTGATCCCATGACTGACTGACTTCAGCCATCAAGTTGGTTGTGACTCAGCAATCCCTCCTTGGGTTTCTTGGGTGGTATTTCTGCAGAAGTAGATAGCCCAGTCATCCTCCCAAGGAATGGCTGGTAGATTTGAACCGCCAGCCTTCTGGTTAGTAATCAAATGCCTTAGGCGTTACACCACCAGAGTTCCCATGTTGTTGTTGTTGTTGTTTGCCGTCGAGTCGGCCCCAACTCATAGCGACCCCTCCTTGGGTTTCCGAGGCAGTATCACTACGGAAGTAGGATTGCCCAACCTTCCTTCCGAGGAGTGGCTGGTGGGTTTGAACCGCCAGCCGTCTGGTTAGCAGGAAAGTGCCTTAGGCACTATGCTACCAGAGCTCCCATAGTAACTCTAATATGAATGTTTTTTTAATCCTTTCACTATTGTTTGTTCTGAAGGCTTAATCAAATAAATTCTTTGTTTCTTTATGATGTTCTATTATTTTCTCTCAAGCAGGATGTTATATTTCTAAGCCAGATGTGGTTACTTTATTGGAGCAAGGTAAAGATCCCTGGATGATTGTGAAGGATAAGAAAATAAGATGGAATCTAGGTGAGTAAGTGCTAATTAAGCAGAGGTAAACCATCATGGCAAACATCATCCTACTGGTTGGGAGGAGACATGTCCTTTAGATATTATTCATGAGGAAAGAACTTGAAATCTGGGAAGAAAACGTAGGTCTTCTCAGTCTGAGGCACCATAAACTTTCATCTATACATCCACTTACCACTGTCATTATTTCTCCTCTTTCATATTTCCCTCCCATGCAATAGGAAATCTTTCTTCCATAATGACAAGCATGTAATCTGTATATTGTATCTAATTTCTTTCTAGCTCATCCTTTTGATTTTAACGTTTATGGATCTGTTTCTTCATTGTCCTTTTCTTGTGGAGTTACTTCATATTAGTGGAGTCACACTATAAATAAATAAATTACTAAGTATTATGAAGTAATTAAGTCCTATGAATAAAAGTTAATAGGGTAAGAATACTGGCCCAAATGGGCCCATTTGAGAATCAATACAGATGGTAATTGCAGTGTCTTAAAACGTGTAAAATACAATTAATTCCATAAATTCATAATGATACTAAAAGCAAGTTTTTTTGGTTTTTTTTACCATTAGACAATATTAGGAAACTGCCTTATTTGGAATATGTAAATTTAAAGAAAAGGAAGCATATATCCTACCTTTCCTATAAGAACTATACCAATGGCAGTAGATAAATGAATGTTTCTCTTTTTAAAAGTATTCAGCAAATAAATGAAGAAGGAATGATTGAATTAGAATATTACCATTTTAGAACTCAAGAAAACAAAGTATTGCACTGAGCAAATTTGCTGCAAAAAAACTCTTTAAAGTGTTAAAGAGCAAAGATGCTACTTTGAAGACTAAGGTGTGCCTGACCAAAGCCATGGTATTTTCAGTAGGCTCATAGGCATGTAAGAACTGGACACTGAATAAGAAAGACTGCAGAAGAATTGATACATTTGAATTGTTGTGTTGGTGACAAATATTGAATGTACTGTGGACTGCTAGAAGAATAAACAAATATGCCTTGGAGGAAGTACATTGGGAATGCTCCTTAGAAGCAAGTGTGGCCAGATTTTGTCTCATGGACTTTGGTCATGTTATCAGAAGGCACCAGATCCTGGAGAAGTATATCATGCTTGGTAAAGGTAGGAGGGCAGTGGAAAAGGTGAAGATCCTTTATAAGATGGATTGACACAGTGACTGCAGTAATGGGCTCAAGCATAGCAACAATTGTGAGGATGGTGCAGGATCAAGCTTTGTATATAAAGTCATTGTGAGTCAGAACCAACTCAATGGCACCTAATAACAGAACCCATAATGAACTTTGAATCTAGGCATTGAACATCAATGCTGATAGTATCACAGAAATAGAAACAATTATACATTATGCTTCTCTTTATGAAAGAATGTAACATTGTTTGTGAAGAAAGTGAATTGCTTCTCAATTTGAGCAAGCTTCTAGAACCAAGTACCAATTTATGAGAAGACAGAAAAACATGTTCTAGAACATCTTGGTACTGCAGTCATCAAAATCCAGACTATGGGAAACTCTACAGGACCAAAAAGAGGGTCTTCAGCAAATTAATTGTAAAGGAAATAAAAAAATAGTAGGGGAACCCATAGATTAAAAATTGAGAAAAAATGTGCCAATCAGCTGCACTCTGTGGACATTTAAGTTATTAGAAAATAAGAAAAGTGGGAGATGAGGCAATGGGGAAATTCTAAACCAAAGCCAAACCCATTCCTGTCAACTTGATTATGACTTGTATTGACCCTATAGGACAGAGCAGAACTGCCCCGTAGGGCTTTGAAGGCTGTTATTTTTGCAGAAGCAGACTGCCACATCTTTCTCCCATGGAACAGCTGGGTTCGAACTGCTAACCTTTTAGTTAGCAGCCGAGTGCTTGACCACTGCACCACCAGGGGTCCTCTAATGGTAAAAAATAGGTATATACAATTTTTTGAAAGAATTTTGCCTTAAGAAGAATGCATATACGTGGGGTGTAGGAAACGTATTTTAAGATGTGAGGTATTAGAGCATGTTGTAGGCTGAAGGAAATGATTCTAAAGAGAGGAAAATTGATGGAAAGAGGATAATTTTGTAAGCAATAACTTTCAGTAGAAGGGAGGAAGCTAAAGAGTACGTGAAGAAATGGCATGAATACTATATGCGTACCTAAGTAGCCAGGTTGATTGGGTAATATTTTTCTTTTAATTGCTTCTGATTCCTCAGTGAAATTAATAAGATTGAGCAGAGTATGATGATTACTCAGTATGTCATTGGGACTTAGTATGGATTGTTGGGTATTTGATCAGTATTGGTACTCAGAAATACAGTTATGTGGTCATAGACTTTCAAAATTTTCAGATCTTTTGATACACCAACCCCGGTGTTAAAGTTACTAAAAATCCCTTGATCATAAATATTCTGTGTCCCATATCGTCTATGTCAGCGAAGAAAGGTGATAAAGACATAATAGCTCAAGAAACAAAGTAATTTTATGACCAGGTGATTTGCTTCTTGTTTTTTCTTTAATTAAAGCTGTTATCATGAAAAGGCATATCACATTTCTGCTTTTATATTGATGTAAGATGGGCTTCATATTTTTTCTTCACAGTGATGGTGTTTAATTGAAAAAAAGTCCCTTCATCCAGTAAAACTCAAATCAGTATTTAGTTTATTAATTTTAAACAAGGTATTTTATACATATATTTTAAATATCCGGTCATAAGCCAATCTTTTGATGTTTGGCCATGCCTTCCCTTTCAGTAAGAATCTGGTGGCACAGTGCCTGAGACATTTGACTTCTAAACAGAAGATGGCCAGTTCGAACCCACCAGCCTCTCCGAGGAAGAGAGAGATGAGGCAGTCTACTTCTGTAAAGATTTACAACCTTGGAAACCCAGTATGGGTTGCTATGAGTCAGAATTGACTGGATGACAGTGGGTTTTTGTTTTTCCTTTCAGTATAAGTCCAGCCCATTCTTTCTTGATTAACTAACACACATAATGCATAGGCTATTATTTCTAGTTTCGATTTTGTACAATAGAGTAAGAATCTAAAGATGCTTGTAAAGCATCTGAATATAGAATTTTTTTTTTCATTTTTATGTTTTCCAACAATCTTTTACAATTTCCTTACCTATGCCTATTTTTCCACTCCTCGGAAGGAAGGTTGGGCAATCCTACTTCCGTAGTGATACTGCCTCGGAAACCCAAGGAGGGGTCGCTATGAGTCTGGGAAGACTTGACGGCAAATAACAACAACACAACATGCCTATTTTTACAGCAATGTAATGTGCATTTATGGCCACTACTTCCAAAGCATTCAACTTAGTTTTGGTAGAAGTGTTTGTCTTTAAAAAACGAAACCAAACCAAATGCACTGTCATTGGATTGGGTCTGACTCATAGCGACCCCTCCCCTCCTTGGGTTTCTGAGGCAGTATCACTATGGAAGTAGATTGCCCAACCTTCCTTCCCAGGAGTGGCTGGTGGGTTTGAACTGCCAACCTTTTGGTTAGCAGTCAAATGCCTTAGGCAGTAGGCCACCAGAGCTCCCCTTTAAACATTAGTAATTTTAGTTGCTTACAGGGATAAGAGCTAACATAAACAATTTTGGGAACAGACATAGCTGACTCCTTGGTAAGCATATAGCTCAGCTGTATACACTATAGAGTACTCTCCTAGATTAGAATATTCAGCATGCCAAAGTATAAATCTGGCATGTCAGTTATGTGAGGCACCATATATGAGAATCTCAGTTTTACTATATCGTCACTAGAAGTATTGTGTTTGTTTGTTTTATGAAAACTATCAAATTTTATAAGTTTTGTAGCTTTTTCTGATTTGTTTATTATTAGTGACTGTGGACATTTTGCCCCAAGTTTGTTTATGTGTGCAAAAATTAACACTTTCTCACTTTTCTTACAGATGTTTTGGGTTTTGTTTTGATTTTGCTTATGAGTTTCCTTTTAGATAACTGGTTTTTAACTTTCATTTTGCAAGTAAAATTATTTTCAGGCAAATCTGTAATTACCATCATGTCTTAAAGTTTGTCAGATCTTTATAAATGTCTATTTATTTACTATTGCTATTACTGTTTGGGAGCTCTGGTGGCATAGTGCCGAGGGCATTTGACTACTAACCAGAAGGCTGGAAGTTCAAACCTACCAGCCAGTCCTCGAAGGGAAGTTTGGGCAATCTACTTACGCAGTGATACTGCCACGGAAACCCCAGGAGGAGTTGCTATGAGTTGGATCCAACTCGATGGCAGTCATTGCTGCTCACATATCATTTATATGTTTTCTTATTGAGGCCCTAATTAATTTTTCTCTAAAATACTTAAAAAATTTCCATAGTTTTGTTTTGCTTCCTTTGGTGGACAAAAAGAAAAATACACACAGATTTTTAGCAGTATTTGCCATGACATTTATTTATGTGTCTCTGCTTAAACTTTATTCACACTTTAAATCACTGCTGCCTTTCCATGTCTTTTTAGTATATCCTTTGTTGGTATATTGAAGTGTAACATATATCTTAAAAAGATACAGATCATCAGAGAAATTTCACAAAGTGACCACATCCATCTAACCAGTACACAGATTCAGAAATAGAGAATTAACAATACATCAGAATTCCCCTACTGGCTCCTTCCAATCATTCCTCCCTACTGTCTGCTATCCCTGATTTTTTTTTTAACATCATAAATTAGTTCTGCCTTTTTTGAACTTTATAAAAAAATGGAATCAGTATGTATTCCTTATATCTTGCTTTGTTTACTCACCATTATATTTGTAAGATTGATTCATGTTATATGTAGTTATAGATCATACTCATTGCTGTACATGTTGATAGTGTGCCATATTTACTTTGCTATTCTTCTGTTGAACATTTGGATTCTTTCCTGTCTGGGCCTTTTATAAATAGTGTTACTGTCATACATTTTAAGAAATAACTTTTTCTTTTTTAAAAGTGTTGAGCACATAGTGCATAAAATTTGAGAAAATACATGTTTGAGAAAAAACACATCTCTTTGCTCAGGATTTTACTGTCCTTTGAATATGGCATGTTGTTATACATGAAAAATCACTGAAATACTTTTCTAAGAAGAGCTGATGATAACATTAGCTATGAGAACTGTTGGGGAGGATTAAAGAAGAGTCCAAAGGGATTGAAAATAAAAACCACCTTAATTCTTTAAGAAGGTATATGTATAGAAGCAGGACAATCTATTCAATAATTGTTAAGTAATTATGGGAAAGTAACAGTTACTATGTACTACGGGTTTGTTGGAGCCCCATTGGTGCAGTGGTTAAAGCACTTGGCTACTAACTGAAAGATCGATGGCATGAGTGCCTCAGTCGCTCCATGGGAGATCTGGCAATCTGCTCCCATAAGCTTAGAGCCTTAAAGGAAAGCCAATGGGGCACAGTTCTGTTCTGTCCTATAGGGGCTCTATGAGTCAACATTGACTCCACGGTAATAAGTTTGGTTTATTTTTGGATGAGTTTGTTATTCACTGATGGTTGAAAGATTGTTTCGGTCCTGGGCAGGTTTGGAGGAAGAAATAAAGAGAATAATAAATGGGGAAGTTAATTAATGTGTAACAAAATTGAGAAAAGTGTTAAGAAGTAAGGAAAAAGTTACTGAGATAGAGAATAAAGGACACAAATTAGATAAAATCTGTAATATGTTTTCTGATTTTTGACATGATATCTGAAAGATAAAAAAGGAACTCAACCATTCAGAGAACCCAAAATCAGAGGATTCCTGAGAAATTTAACAGCCTGTGAGAAACTAAGAAATGAAAATATTGTAAAATATTATAGGAACTTAAAAGAGAGAAGTGTGATAGGAATATAGGAAGCAAAGGGGACAGTGATTTGAGATGATATTTTATAAGTTGTCAGGAGCCATGTTATTCATGTTAAGATGTTTGTACTTTATTCTAATTGAAAAAAGAAACCATTAAAGACATTTGAGTAAGGATTCTCAAACTTTGATCTGCATCAGAATAAATCTTTTAAGGAATGTTAAAAATACAGGTGCCAAGCATCTACTTCTGTAGATATTTATTTAGATAGTCAGAGTATTTAGGTTGTTCAGAATAGTGTGCCTGAAAAAAAAAAAAGAAATGTGTCATAACTTTCCTAGGTTAATTCTAACCCACATATCTCTTTAAGAACTACTCTTCTATTCTGTTCCCTAATCTCCAACTTTTGTACATGTACTGTCCTCATTTTCTTTATTCCCCTTAGCTTTTTCAAATTATAGGACTATTTTAGAGTTTCCTAGCTCATTCAAGTCAACTTGACTTTATTTTCTTAAATTTTTCCTATTATCCAAGTTTTTATTGACTTGTTTGTTTACTTTTCTAGAATATGGGGAACATCATGTGTTTGCCTCTCTGTTTCAGATTTGGAATCCAAGTATGACACTAACAAGTTATTTCAAGAAAAAGACATTTATGAAATGAATTTATCTCAGTGGGAAATAAGGGAAAGAATTAAAAATCATGGTCTTGAAGACTCCTTTGTTGAAAAAGATTGTGAATTTAAAAACAAGTCTGAGAATCAGGCATGTCCTCAAGAGATATTTTTCAGACAAGTGAAAACCAGCTGTAAAAAAATACCTGCTTTCAGAAAATGTACATCATTTACTCTATATCAGGGAAGAAATAATTCAGAAAAACCCTATGAATGTGAGGAATGTGGGAAGGCATTTAGAGTACGCCAGCAGCTTACTTTCCATGAGAGAATTCATACTGGAGAGAAGCCCTATGAATGTAAAGAATGTAGAAAAACCTTTAGGCAATATGCACACCTTAGTCGCCATCAGAGAATTCATACTGCTGACAAACTATATGAATGTAAAAAATGTGAAAAGATCTTTAAATGTGGCCCAGACCTTCGAGTACATCAGAGAATTCATATTAGTGAGAAGCCCTATGAATGTAAAGAATGTGGGAAAGCCTTCAGAGTGCGAGGACAACTCAGTCTCCATCAAAGGATTCATACAGGTGAGAAACCCTATGATTGTAAGGAATGTGGGAAGGCTTTTAGACAGTATGCACACCTTACTCGACATCAAAGACTCAGTAATGCAAAGAAGTGCTATGACTGTAAGGAATGTGGGCAAACATTCTTGTGTAGTACAGGGCTTAGACTACATCACAAACTTCATACTGGTGAAAAACCTTACGAATGTCAGGAATGTGGGAAGGCATTTAGGGTGCGGCAACAACTTACACTTCATCAGAGAATTCATACTGGTGAAAAACCCTATCACTGTAAGGACTGTGGGAAGACCTTTAGCCGTGGCTATCATCTAACTCTTCACCAGAGAATTCATACTGGTGAAAAACCTTATGAATGTAAAGAATGTCAGAAGTTCTTTCGCCGTTATTCAGAACTTATTTCACATCAAGGTATTCATATTGGAGAGAAACCCTATGAATGTAAGGAATGTGGAAAGGCTTTTCGACTATTCTCACAGCTTAATCAACATCAGAGTATTCATTTTGGTGAGAAACCTTATAAATGTAAAGAATGCGAGAAGACTTTTAGACTGCTCTCACAGCTTACTCAACATCAGAGTATTCATACTGGTGAGAAACCCTATGATTGTAGCAAATGTGAAAAGGCCTTTAGGCTTCACTCATCTCTTATTCAACATCAGAGGATTCATTCTGGTGAGAAACCATACAAATGTAAAGAATGTAAGAAGGCATTTAGACAACATTCACATCTTACTTATCATCACAGAATTCATAATGTATTTTAATAATCAAATTAAGACTTCTGTTGTGAATTTTGTGTTAAGGAAAATGAGGAATTCTAGAGGAAAACTTTTTTGAACATAAGAATCCCTTTTCCTTCATGCTTAACTAACTCACCAGAAAAAGTTTTATTCAAAGGAAGGAATGTGTCAACTTAATGCATGTATGGAAGTTTTCCATCATCTCTCAAAGCATGTTAAGCTTTAAGAAAATTCATTCCAAAAAAATGAATTCTTATTAAAGGAGTGAATGTGTAAATGCTTTTAGTTGTATCATCTATATTACTCCATCTTTACAGTATACTTATGGTGGTTACCAGGGCAACAACTCATGCTGAAAATTGATTTAAAAAGAAAGAAAGAAAGAAAGAATTTATTCTTCACTTCCTGTATGAACTATTTCAGGGCAACAAGAAATTGATACAGGAAAGTTCTTTATTAGAGAATTCTAGCCAATGAATGCAGGAAGGAGTATAGAATTAGAACAATTCACCATTTTGCAGTTCTTAGTGATGAAATGAATCTATGCACAATTCCCAGTAGATGTTCAGATCATTAGGTAAAAAGGTTGACAGAAACTTTATAGTGAATAGATCAGGCTGACAACATCTCAACCCACTGATCATTCTTAACCTCACCAAAAGTAGGAAATCAAAACATTATGTGCCTCTTAATGTGGTAAAATAAGAGAGAGACATCTTGGCAAAAATAATGAACCTGATTTTAATCAAGCCTCAATATCTAATTTAGAGAAAGTTCAGGGAATAGAAGAAAACATTAAATGGCACAACAAGAATAATTAAACCTAAAATGTTGGTAATTCAACAAGAGGAATGACCCAGATTCTTCAAACAATAATTAGTATTGAAAAAAGGATGCTGGAACTCTTAGACATTAAAGAGACTTAAGAGCTGTACAAATCAAATGCAATAAATGAGTGTTTCTTACTAAGATTATAAGTTGAATGAACAAATGGAAAAAATTTTAAGACAAGTGGGAAAATGAAAATATTAACTGAGTATTAGATAGTATTAAGAAATTGTTTTTGCTTAAAAGTTGGAAATAGAAATACTTATCATCCAGCAATCCCACTACTAGGTATATATCCTAGAGAAATAAGAACTCTGACATGAACAGATATATGCACACCCATGTTTATTGCAGCATTTTCACAATAGTAAAAAGATGGAAACAACCTAAGTGTCCATCAATGGATGAATGAATAAACAAACTATGGTACATACACACTATGGAATACTATGCAGTGTTAAACAATAACAAACCAGTGAAACACCTCATAACATAGATGAAACTAAGAGGACATTATGCTAAGTAAAATTACTCAATCACAAAAGAATACTTTATGAGACCACTACTGTAAAAAGTCAAGAAAATGTATACATACAGAATGAATCATTCTTTGAAGCTTACCAGGGGTGGGAGGGGAAAAGAGGATAGATAAATCATTAAGTAGAGGGTAGACACCTATTAACTTGGGTGAAGAGAAAGGGCAATATACAATAGGGAGGTCAGCACAAAATGATCAAGGCAGAGGAAGACATGAGGAGCACAAAATTTAAAGACAACAATGTAAACACAATCTTGCGATAGCAGTTTTAACAGTCTACAAGTGATACTATAAGACACTCCAGCTGAACAAGTGTAGGAAGGCAAATGGGACTACACCCACAAATATATAGAAATTTGACAGAAGTATCTCTATGTATGTATTTATATGTGCTGCAAATATATCCATAAATATAGTAGAGCAATCAGTAGGCAAAGTTATGAAAACTTCTTAGCTATAACCACACACCTTGAAGCAATGAGTCCCTGGGGCTGGGGGCTCGGGAACATCATCTAGGAGACGTCAAAGTCAATTGGCATAACCATCCACAAAGAATGTTTTATATCCTTTGGTGAGTAGTGACTGGGGTCTTAAAAGCTTGTGAGCAGCAATCTAAGGTGCAACTATGGGTTCCTCCCTGTCTGGAGCAAAGAAGAGTGAAGAAAATCAAAGACACGTGGAAACAATTAGTCCAAATGGTTAATAGACCTTGTAAGCCCCAGCCTATGTGGTCCTGAGACCAGAAGTAGATGGTGCCCAGCTACCACTGCTGACTACTTTGAATGGGATCATCATAAGAGGTCCTGGATAGAGTGGGAGAAAAATGTGGAACAAAACTCACAATCATGAAAAAAAAAAAAAAAGACCAGGCTTATTGGTCTGATAGAGACTGATGGCTTTAATTTGCATATCCCTAGTGGCTGTAGATGTTGAACATCTTTTTATGTGTTTTATTTTTTATTCATATGTCATCTTTAATGAAGTGTCTTCTCAAGTATTGTCCATTTTCTAATTGAATTATATATCTCTCTTACAGTTGACTTTTGAGAGTTACTTGTATATTCCAGATGTGAGTTCTGTGTCTGATACAGAACTAGAAAATATTTTTCTGAGTTGATTGTCTTTTCTCATCTTAAAATAGCAAAGTTTTAAATTTTGATGGTCTAATTTAACCTTTTTTTTCCCTGCAATAAATTGTGATTTTGATGTCATGTCTAAGAACTCTTTGCCAAACCATATGTCATGAAGATTTTTACCAGTGTGTGTTTCTAAAAGATTTAGAGTTGCACATTTAGATTTATGATACATTTTAAATTAATTTTTTGTAGGAGGTATAGGTTTAAGTTCATTTTTTAAGTGATGTTCTAGCATCGTTTGTTGAAAAGAAAACTGTCTTTTCCCCTAGAATAATTTGTACACCTTTGTCAAAAATTAACTGGACATATTTATATGAATCTATTTCTGAGTTTCGTATTCTTTTCCACTGATTTATGTATCAATCTTTCCACCCATAGCACATTATCTTAATTACTGTTAGCTATGTAGTAAGTCTTAAGGTAGTATGACTTTTCCTAATTTGCTGTTCTTTTCAAAATGTTTTAGTTATTCTAGCTATGTTGCCCTTGCATTTAAAAAAAAAAAATTAGGTTAGTCTCATCTATGTGTAGAACCAAGTGTCATTGGCTTTTGCAGTGCAGTGCATTACTAAATATAGCCCTTCTAGCCATAGTCTTTTTGACCCCTCCATATAGATTCAACAGGACTATGCTAATAAGGTGCTTGTGACCCACCAAAGGGATTGAACAACTTGCTACTGATGCAAATAAGGTGTATAGAATCTGTGATGGTTGAGGTTTTGTGGCCATAATTGTAAGTAGTTTAGTATTTATGTGGTAATGTAATCATCCTCCATTTTGTGATCTGAGGTAATTATCCTTTATTTTGTCATGTGTTGTAAATCATAGCTTCTGTGCCTGTGGTTATGGTGCCGTTTGTGAGTGAGAACCATCATGTTAATGAGGCATGATTAGGGCTGGATGAATCTTGAGTCACCGTCTTACTAAAGGAAGTTACTCAAGTTACCACCTTTACCCTAGTCATCACCCTTACCATCCTTACTCAAGTCATGTTCATACTTGAATTATACCATTCATTTTACAAGAAATAAAAGAAGCAAGCAGAGATGGGGACCTTAATACCACCAAGAAAAGGAGTGAAGTGTGTCCTTTGAATCTGGGATTCCTGGAGGACCTCCTAGACAGACAGAGAGCGAGCTGTAACACTGGAGATGGCAAGGGATGGCAAGAAACAGAGGCAGCAGAACAAGGAGACCAGCAGGAAACAATGTGGTGGAGCAAGAAAGCGGAACACCTTGGGCAGGAGGATTGCTGGTGGAGTGGGGAGTCTCTAGGAGTTTATTGGTGGAACTAAAAGAGCTTTGTAACACTTGCCCAAGCAGGACAGAGGCCAGGTAAAGGATCTGAGGGGCTGAGAAAAGTGTGCCTACAGACATGGCTGAGAAAAATTTGTCCTGATCAAAGAACCATAGCCTGAGTCATTTCTGATCCTGAATTGTAAGCTATTACTTCCCTAATAAATCCTGTAGTTGTGAATATGGTCTGGGAGTGCTATGTGGACATTGCAATATATTATTGTACCCAGCAGAGAAGCAGTGTGCCATAGAACAGACAGCGTCAAAACTGGTAAAATTTTGGAAAGAAGAGATATGTCTGACCTCTACTTAATAGGAGTTAGATTTGGGCTGTTAATGCTAATTATTTTTTCTCCTTTTTCTTATGAAGTTAGAGGAGGTCAGCAGATACTCCACCACCTTATAATTTTCACAGCTTTTTGATGGAAACAGTTGGATCTAAAAATCAGGTTGGAAAAAATTGATAGCTTTAGTATGTTGAGCCTTCTGATCCATGAACATATATTTGGATTTTCTTTTACTTATGAGTTATTAGTGTCCGGCATACATGTCCTGTTCATGTTTTGGGAGATTTATAGCTAAGTATTTAATTTTTTTTAGTGAATGTAAATGGTATTTTGCTTCTAATTTTGGTGTGTAATAGACTGTTGCTAGTATAAAGTATAAACAACAACAGTGTAAAGTAATACAATTGATTTTTGTATGTTGGCTTTGTATACTGCAATCATAAACTCAGTAATACTTAGATTTTAGTATACTCTTTGCATTTTTATACACAATCATATAACTTATAGGTAGAGAGTTTTCTATTTTTCTTTCCAATCATTAATAAGCCTTTTATTTCCACTTCTTGGTTTATTGCACTGACTATAACTTTCAGTTTTGTTATATTGAACAGCAGTAGTGAGAGAACATCCTTGAGTTATGGCTGACATGAGTCATAAATAATTCAGTCTTTTACCATTGAGCAGTTGTTAACTATAGACTTTTTTAATATTTTGTCAAATGTCTTTCTGACATCAATTGATGAAATAATGTGATTTTTCATTTTTAGTCTTTTAATATGGTGTTGTTGTTGTTGTTATATGCCGTTGAGTCAGCCCCGACTCATAGCGACCCCTCCTTGGGTTTCCGAGGCAGTATCACTACGGAAGTAGGATTGCCCAACCTTCCTT